GGGGGGGGGTCTGAATTGAGCGATCAATTATTAGACCCGGACGTCCCAACACTTGCTTCGCAAGACAAACTCAAGGTATCCCCTAAAGGGCTACCTTTCGTGAAATACTGGCCTGTTGCGTACCCTCTCTAATATATATGTCAATCTATCTATCCATCTATCGGTTGATCCATCCATCCATCTTTATCGTTTATCAGTCGCTCTCAAAGCACCAGTTTCATCCAAAAAAGCACCATCCGGCAGTTCCCAGGACAATCACCATTCGTAGCGTCCGATCGCGTCCGATCGCCTCCGTTCGTCGTCGTAGGGCGTCCAGTTCCCCGGAACGGTGGACCGACGATCGCGTCGGTCATTGACTCCGCTCAGCCACTGAGGAAGTCTTGGACTCGGTCCGGGTGCATCTCTGCCAAACCAATCCTGGCGGTCATGGCACCTGGGTAGGTCCCAAACCAGGGTAGGTTGACCTCCTGTAGGTTCCTCCATTCTGTTCAGTTTGGGTCAACACCCACATGGACGATCTCTAACAACTAGCTGCAGTAGCTTTAAACAACTACATTGAACACGTGGTATTGCCAAATAAGCTGTGCCCCATTTGGACAAAACAATATATAATCAGGCTCCTACAGTACTTTGGGCTCTGATTTTATCCAAAGGATTCTCAACTATCCAGCTGCTTATCAAATCAACCAACGTGCAAAGGATTTGTTTGATTCGGAACCAGCGTGGTGTGAAACACCGGTGGTCGTGAAACATCTTGAACATTTCATGATGAAGGGACTCCAACCTAGACCCAGAAAGAACCTTGCGACTTGCCACATTTCGCCTAAGGGGAGAGCATGGAGTTGCGCAGGAGAAAGAACACGGGTAAACGGGTACCAAGAACCCAAAACAACCCATTTAGAAGGAAGGAGGGCAGGCAAGGAGAAGGAAGGAGGAGTTCCACCTTTCATCAAATCATGTAGGAACCCTCACCTGACAGGGACTTTCCATATGGAACAATTCCACCCCCATTCTCAGGCTCAGTCCGTGGCTCAGTCTCAGGTGCTCCTTTGACAGATGCTCCTCCAAACGTGTCCAGGCTCTGCGGTCCAAGTCTTCCTCGTTGGAGACCCGTAGGGCCACTCCATCGAGGTCCCGAAGCTCCTGCGATCGAGGCGAGGGCGACGGCGATGGGTTTGACCGAAGGAACTTCGGTGGTAGGAGATCACAAAGCAAAAGTCCGTCTTTCCCAGGTGGTCAAAGAAGCCCCGGTTCGTAGCGTCCGATCGCTCCGTTCGTAGCGATGCCAGGAGCCCCTAATTAGTAGCGTCCGATCGCTCGTAGTAGCTGGTTACTGGTAGAGAAGCAAAAGAACATCTCTTGTCACAGACTTTGGGGTTCTTGACCGGTTGGGACGAAGGTGCTTCGTGTGGAGGTCTGGGAGTAGGCGCTTTCCATCCTCGTCTGCCCAGCGGTCTAGCGCTTCTTGATCAGATTCCAAACTATAGCAACATCCGAAGCCTGACCTGGAATCAAAGGGTTTTCGCTTCCAGTCCAGTACAATAGACTACTGGTGAACCGTCCCAGTTTGGGACCCCCCCAAAGAAGCCTAGCCCCCAATGGCTTTACTTCCTTTGTCGGATGCGGCTCCGAGCAGCACCTCCAAGTCGGCTTCGAGCAGCACTTCGCTGGGCCTTTCGCCCAGCACCAGCACGGCTCGACGCTCCACGCCGCTGCGAAGCAAGGCGTCCGAGAAGCCAAGCGCAGAGGCGGAGGCCGAGAGGTAGAAGGCACGGACGCCCAGCCTCAGAAAACAAGCCGAGGCGATCCGAAGGGTGGGACGGAAGGATTGGAACGTCTGCGACGGAAGGGAAGGGGGTCTGTTGCTGGAAACAGGACGCAGGACAAGGGCTTTTAGTGATTCCAGTGATGGCTTTAATGTGAATGTATGTAAAGGTGGTGGAAGAAACCAAGATCTGGAAATGTCTGGAAGGTCCTCCGATCAAGCCCAGCATCACAGGAACCTGATAGGAACGAAGCACCTCCAGTCCCACAGCTTTGAGCCCCTCTCCAGCCCTTGACTCCGATCTCAACCACCTTCTGCACCCTCGAGGGTGCAGCCCCTTCGAACGAAACCATCCAAAGGATCCCAGGGGTACAAATCCCAGGTGGTCGAGTTCAGGTTCTCTCATCCTGGGATCATCTCACCACATCGAAACCACTGATGGTTCGACCATGAAATCCTGAACCACACTGAGCCACCTGAACCACGCGTGATTCATCCTTTCGGACACCGATGATCGGCAATGGCACGCAGAATGCACGCATCCGAGGCGCGGCGGTGGGACAAGCGACCCTTTTAGAATCTCGAGCGGCTCAAGTACCACCCAGCCGACGGTTTTGGGGCAAACCAAGCCCCTATGTAACCAGTCGACTTGGAGAAGACAGAGCCGTTCTTTTGTCCCTTCCCGGGGAGAATGTTTAAGCGGCGAGCAGCTGCAAGGCCCTGACGAAGCTCGTTTCATCGACGTCCTTCTCCACCACGAGTCCCAGCAGTGGAAGCTCCAGTGGACCCACTGGAAGGCGACTGTTCCTTGGGATGTGAGCGGTGTGAAAAAACAGAACACCTTGAGAGTCTTGAGAGGGTGAGTTGATAGACGAGCTGACGGACAGCATGGCGTTTCTGCTTTTAAATAAGCCGGAGTAAACGACCTAAGTTAAAGGGCTCTATCTTAGAGGCTCTCGGGTGGCCTCTAAGGCCTCTTGTCTTTTTATTAACCAGCCTTCCCGAAAGTGAGGCACTCCAATCAACGGGTCAACCGTCGATGCTTACCCAGCCAGCCACATAACATCGGCATGTTCATCGATTGAATGGTGCACAGACCCATAATTACCGGGTGATCTGTCGCAAAATGAGGGGACCCCAACCCAACCCAACGCTTACAGTGAACTCCTGTGAAGCCTCCACGCGGCGAGGCAATCTGAGACTTGAACCTGGACTCTTAATGAGTTCAAAACCTCAGGACTGGAGGACTTCCACACCATTCTGGAGACCTGGAAAGGGTCTAATCCAGATTTCCACATGACCTTTGTCTGCCAAGCCCTTCCACGTCTCTGCGATCCCAGTGGCTGCGTCACCATCAGCGACCGGCCCACCGCAGGGAACCGCAGGCCGCTCGTGAGCCCAGGCACGCCGCCCGCGTGCGCGTGCGCGTCAGCGGGAGGCGCCGAAGCGACGAAGCTGGACCTGTGGGAAAGCAGGTCTGGGGCAGGCCGAACCAAAGGGTAGACTGGTGTCGTTTCCATCGAACCAAACCCACAAGGTCGGAAGGCCGGCGGGAGGTCTCGCTCAGACTGAGCTATATGTCGACACCCATATATATATATATATATATGTAACGACCGGTGACACTGGACAGGAGGGCGAACTTCTGGCTTTTGGGATGGATGGTGTCCAAACCTAGATGAGACAAAGGTTTTGGAAAGGATTTCATTGCGGGGTGAGGTGCTATTTTTTGGGGAGGTGACTTTGGAATGGTATGATGTTATCGATCTGTCTTGATCTGTCGAACGATATCAAGAGGGAAAATGAATGAGGGATAGAATATTTTGCCTTGTCATCTGGATGTTGTGCGTTTTCACATCCAACTGTGCGATTTGGGGACGCACTATGCCACATGCATGGGAATGAGAAGACACTGTTCCATCCTGAGATCCTTGTGAATGCCCTGGTACAACAGAACCCGCGTCAGTAAGTCCGCCTGAAATACTCTGAAACAAGTACCGGTCGCACCATTCCGGTTAAAACAACACCTCGAGATCAACTCCAGACGTGACACCGTCCGGATGTATACATGGATGACACGGCGCGTTCGAAAGGAAAACGAGAGAAGGACCATGACCACTTATCTTCTAGAACGCTACCATCAACCAAAAAAGTCTAAAAACAAGCAACTCCCAGAAATATAGACCCTGTATACATGGTAGACAAGACCCCTTACATTTGAATAGACAACAACAACATACCACCCTTGACATACCGAAACGACTTCCCCATCGCCGGATCATACCGCTCTTGGTCCCGCCTGGCCCCTGCGCCAGCGCGAATGCTCGCTGTCCGCGTCCGGTTGAGATGTGCTCGGGCCACGGTCCCCAGGCGGTGCCAATTGGAATACCAAAGCCCCGGGTCGTCGCCCAAGCGGTCCTCGGATCTGGCGAGCGTGCCGTGCGTCGTGGGCGGCGTCGTGCCGAGCCCGGGCAGCGGCCTTGAGAGAAAGAGACCCTCCACTGCTTTTTGTTACTACTAGTAACAAGTGCATCGCTACTAGTAACAAGTTCCTTACTAGTAGTAACAATGATTGCTAGTAGAAACAAGAAATCGAATTAAGTTAAATTAACTACTTGCTTTTGTTCCTAGTAGCGATGCACTTGTTACTAGTAGCGATGCACTTGCTACTAGTAGCTTTTTGTTACTACTAGTAAGGCACTTGTTACTAGTAGCGATGCACTTGTTACTAGTAGCGATGCACTTGTTACTAGTAGCTTTTTGTTACTACTAGTAAGGCACTTGTTACTAGTAGCGATGCACTTGTTCCTACTAGCTTTTTGTTACTACTACTAAGGCACTTGTTACTAGTAGTAAGGCACTTGTTTCTACTAGCTTCTTGTTACTAGTAGTAAGGCACTTGTTACTAGTAGTAAGGCACTTGTTACTCGTAGTAAGGCACTTGTTTCTACTAGCCTCTTGTTACTAGTAGTAAGGCACTTGTTTCTACTTGCTTCTTGTTACTAGTAGCAAAGCACTTGTTTCTACTAGCTTCTTGTTACTAGTAGTAAGGCACTTGTTTCTACTAGCTTCTTGTTACTAGCAGTAAGGCACTTGTTACTAGTAGTAAGGCGCTTGTTTCTACTAGCTTCTTGTTACTAGTAGTAAGGCACTTGTTACTAGTAGTAAGGCACTTGTTTCTACAAGCTTCTTGTTACGAGTAGTAAGGCACTTGTTACTAGTAGTAAGGCACTTGTTACTAGTAGCAAGGCACTTGTTTCTACCTTCTTGTTGTTACTAGTAGTAAGGCACTTGTTACTAGTAGTAAGGCACTTGTTTCTACAAGCTTCTTGTTACCAGTAGTAAGGCACTTGTTACTAGTAGTAGGGCACTTGTTTCTACTAGCTTCTTGTTACTACTAGTAAGGCACTTGTTACTAGTAGCGATGCACTGTTACAGAATGAGACTTGGTGAAATTGTTATTTTTTGAGTTTAGCTGTGAACAACAGATATACACTCCCAACCACCTCTGAACTAAAAGCACACATTGAACAAACACAAAACGGTAAATGAAGACATCACCAATCCCTTGGCGTGGATGGAGCTTCGTGAAAACTGACGACAATTCTTGCATGTTTGGTGTTTCATGACTTTCACTGGGTGCCCATGCCAAAACAAGCCCCCCACGGTGACGAGTCTTGTATTCGGCCATGGTGCTATCCACCGATGGATCTGCCCCAAACTCTCCTCCACGCGGAGGCGCTCGGGCTCCATGTTTTCGGGCCCTGGTCGGGCTAGCTGGTGGGCGAGACGCAGGTTGTTCCAGACATAGCGCCAGGCCTTGCGGTGCAGTTGCGAAGCTATTGTGACTGCGGCAGAATAGCCGGGAATTGGATGGATGAAGTGGTCACCTCTTTGAACCAGGTGATTGCTTGTACCTGAGAGCTTTGATCGCTCACGACAAACTGGCTGCTGGAGATGTCATGACTGCAATTCGCTTTTGAGGAAAGGAAGGTTCACGCAGAGATGTATATATATATATAAATCCCCTTTAAAACTAGAATAGCAAAGATTGCTCCACACACCTATATAAATAGAAGGATTTCCTTTTGGTTGGGATTCTAATGAGGGGCTGTCGCAGCTGGTGGTTTTTGTTGGCTTTGAGTCAGGTCCACCCCTCAACTACACCAAGTGCTATCAATTGCACTGTTCCACCGCTGTACGGTGTCCTCTTGGTGTCCTCTTCCCAGCCGCCCTCTCGCTCCCATGTCGAGGTCGACCGAAAACACCAACGGGCGACGCGAGCTGATATGCGAGCTCCAAGGCACTGATGGCAGGGCCAACCAATCACATCCTCGGCATGGGCCACTTGGGGTGGCCCCCGCCACGAACCCACCGCCACGAACCAACCGGAAAACAAGGACAGCGGGCCCCAGCCAAGCGGCTTTGGTTGGGAGAAAGGTACGAGGTACCAGGTCGACACGGACCTACACAGATCCTTGGACATCCTCGGTAGAGAGGGGTCAATCATGGTCAATGTAGCGGGGTGAATAGCACTAGTTGGAAGAAACTGTTGCGACTCGTCGCACTGAATAGATGTGTTGATTACCCCAACCTTTGAAACGTACGATAGTCTATATTTCTTTGTAAGTGCTTCGTGCATCCAAGAACATCTTCACACGGATACCTCCTTCAATCACTGAAACATTAAATCTCCGCGTCAAATCCACCAACTCGCCTCCCCCCAACTTGGCGAACGGGTGTGTCACCCAATAACCTCCGCACACTGGCACGGGCCCCCCCCAAAAATCATCCAGTTCCCATCCAGTACCCCATGATCTGCTTAGTTCACCTCCCAACCCTTCCCCAACCTCCTGGCGCCGTGCGTCCAGTGCCCCGCACGTCGCAGCTGTCGGGGATCCGCTCGGCCGCCCACAGGGCCGCCGCCCGGAAGGGCGGCTCGGCGCCCGCCGAAGCGGCCGCGGCAAGGGCCGCAGCGGCGGCGAAGAGGGGCGGCATGGAGCCCCAAGAGGCACATGAGCTTGTGGAAATGTTCCAGTCTGGTGGCGGTTTTTTGGATATGGAGATGGTGGTGAGTGGCTGGTGAGTGGAGGGTTAGGGGGTAGGTGGGCTGGGGGTAGGTGCGCTAGCATTGGGTGGTCAGTGATGTGGTTTTGGCGCCTTTTGATCGTGACAGCTGGTCTTCTGCTGTTGCTGTGGGACCTTCCTGTGGTTCACTTCCCAAAACGGCTGGTCGGAGGAGGGTCCCAAGGGTGTCGTTCGGGAGGATGGAGGGATGGAGGTTGGAGCCACAAGTAATTAATAGTAATTGCTATAAGAGCTGATGCTATCAATGCTATCTCAATCAATGAACCTGATTCCTGGTGATGTCTTCAAGTTTTCTTTTGAGTCCCCAACAACCTAATTATGGTTGAAACCTTGGCGAATCTTCAAGCGCCTTCAGCTACAATGTGTTCACGTGCCCTTCGTTGGGTTAAGCTAAGCATAGGCAGCTGGACACACCAGCTGGACACGCCGGCATGGGCAGCAAAAAGGCTCGAAAAGGCACGGTCAATGTTCAGCATCGAACCCGAAAGTGAAGGGGTTAGATGCTGAAGCAAACTGCGAAGTGGTGAAGTCTAACCCAAAGTTCCGCATCTAACCCTAACGGAAAAGTGGTGAAAGCAAACGCCTCTGGGTTCGTACCCATCCACTCTTTTCTGGAACAAAGACATGAATGGCGGATGAATGACGCAGGATGGATGGTCCATCATATCAAAACGAAGGGCTGGGCGGCTGGTCATGCTCCTGAATCAAACGCAGTGGGTCTGAATCGCACCTATGAAGCACCAGACATGAGCGATCAATCACCAATGTCTGGCGGAACACATGGCCGAATTAATCAATCCTCTGTCCTCTTGCAATAGGATGAACCAACCGAAGGCAAGCCGTTTCCTTGTAAGGCAAAGGTTAATATTGTTGGCTCTGGAGAATTCAATATCCTCCAAAACATCTTGCGAACATCCTGATGGCTTTGACTCAAAGCTGATAGAAACAAACCTACTTCTCTAGAGTCTATAGAGGAACACCAACCCCAAACCAAATAAACGAAGGCCGGTGGATGGTTTTAACCCATCCAACTGCGAGTCATTGGGAGGCTGATTGTTCATCCCCCAGATTTTTCACAACATCCATAAGGAAACTCTATAGAGACCACAAAAAAGGCACCTCACTATATTAGTTTGCAGGAGGTGACCGTGATACTGCACCACCGGGAAGAGACACTGAAGTTGGGGATGCCATGGGTCCACACAACGCAGTAGCAGTTGGTGATTTCACAAATAGCAAGCAATGTGAATGAATTGGAACATTCAATTAGTTAGCAATCATTAGTTAGGGAACTGGAACAACCATATACAACTTACAACTTATTTCCAACTAGGAATGGAACACAATTTCCCACTTCCCAGGTCATGTCCATGGCATCTCGTGCCTGGTTGGTGCAACATGGACCGTCCAAACCACCCGAAAACCACGTGGCAACATCGATTGCCCAGCGCTCCATAGCGCTCCCCTGCCATTTGGGACGCCGGCCGTATCAGCGCGGCGCGCGCATCTGCCCAGGGAAGCCCACGAAAACCATTGCGGAGCTCCAAGGCATGGATTTCTCGGTTCGTCCAAGAAAACCCTGACGACACGCGTGGCTTGTAGCGCTCTGACGAGCACTCTGCCGTACACATGGAAGTGGACATGGATGAAGCATGGTGCCGGAAGACGCCTTGGATTGAGGAACCACCCCAGGGCATGCCATCCACGTTCGGTGATTTGCTGAACCGGAGCTCAGCCTGTTGAAGCTCGGAAGGAGTTCGGCGTGAAGCTCCTTTCACATGTCTTGGATCCAGTGTGTCTCAAAACTGTTACAGTAGATTGAGAAGCAGTATATTGCATGTTGTGGTCGCATTTGCAAGTCTCTGCCTCTGGTTGTTTCTCTAGTGCTTCTTGAGGAACATTTCTGGAACTGCCACTGCTATTCCCCGCATGCAGATTAACATGGTATCTCAAAACCACAGGGTTGTAGAGGAAAAGAGTCGAAGCCACGGGCCAGTTCTTGAGGTTCATGTTAGTTAGCGTTAGGCTTCTTGACGTATCTTGACATGGACTGCTCGAGCCGCTGCTCTGGCTGCCAATCTCTAGATCAGCTCCCGCTTCCACCGGTGAAGACCAGAATGGAGTTGATGCAGTTCACCGAAAGGATATTTGGTATCTCTGGATTGGTTACTGCCAAGTTAGGCAATCCTACAGATTTATTCGAAAGTGGTGTCTATAGGTATGTCTCACGAAGGTGTACAACTGTCCCTGGCTGATTTGTCACTTCCTCGGGTGAAAAACAGCTTCACTCCGCAAGGAGTTGAGCCATCTTGGGTGGCTGATGACATTCTAAGACGCAGACTTCTAAGGAGAAGATGGGTGGAACCATGAACCAGCCGATAGCAGGTCCTACTCCCTCAATTCACCGATCAGGCCTTCTTCTTCTTATTCTTCTCAAAAAATGAGTGAAACCCAAACCGGTGGCCATCGATTATAAGTGGCAATAGATTGCACCATATTATACCTTAATCATTTCAAAATAAACAATAGATCTCCAGGAGACAATAGATAGACAATATAGATTATACCTCAATAGATCTCAATATGTTCCAAGGATATCCAAGGAGTCAAGAAAAAACCTCCAAACAGACAGTCCGTCACTGGTCCCCACTCACTAGCCCCTTGAGGGGAACCCTAAATCTTTCGGTGGTCTTCCACTGGAAGGGCTAGGTCTGGGGACCAGTTCCCACTTCGTGAACTGTCAAGACGCGACGAACGGTCGCGACGATGCGTGCAACGCTTGAAATAGGGAACCCCCTCGAAGCAGCAACGCTTCTGCTTAGCATGGAAACACCCCATAGTTGGTGCTCGCCTCACTTCTTTCTGCAAACTGACATGAACATCCATTAGCTCTTAAACAACAGCAAGGAAAACTAGGATCATCGTCTTCCTGCCTTGGCTCTATACTATGGCTTTTGTTGGGCAAAACTCTTATTTTCCAAGTGGGGTTCTCCGGTAGTTTGTTTGAGTGAGAAATGCACAAATTCATCATGCGCAGCACATTTTCCTTTGGCTGCTTGCTGCTTCCATGTCGTCTTGCTCACAATTGGCACAGAAATCTTGACCCTTCCTGCCATGTTGAGGCAAATCTGTGCGACCAAGGGATGCCGTTTCAACACAAGAACTGCACCTTCAATGGAATCTTGGTTTGAATGATCATTCTCCAGTGGGTATAGTATATATATATGTACTGTATCCCCGATAGATTGGAACCCGTGCAATCCTATCTATGACTGAGGATCACTATAAGTTAATCCGGAGCGGTTCGAGAATCGGATTGCAACGGCGAACAAGTTCTATCGTGCGAGTGTTCGGCAAGTTTCTCAACTCAGCGGCCGCCTTAGACCTTTTGACACCTTGAAACAACACGAAACGGTATTTTGCACTAATATGGTCAATTCTATGCATTGCTCGTCAATACTATGTGTCATGCCTGCAATTCGGCACTGCAGCTATCTCATTGATGTGTTGCAGTCTTAGGCTTTTCAATCACGTGGTACAGGACGTGGTACAGTTGCTCAGTGCAGGTTAGCAATCAGCCAACAAGCTGCAATAGAACTACAACTTCACTTCCCACACACAGACACACACACACACAATTGTGAAGACTCTTCCTGTTTGAAAACGGATGCAAACTGCTCATCCAATTCTGCCACATGGCCAACAAATGACATAGAAGCACTACTGGGGTCAACAAAGCCAAATTGAGGTCTCCCAGTGATATCTCGTGTGTCCAAACCAGCCGGCTGCACTCGTTGATATAATGGCACTCTGGACCTCAGTGGCAGCTGATGGCGGGCTGGTGACAGGGACCACATGAGTAAGGACGTCATTCGTTGGTGGCTACTTAATCGCCAACAAGGACCAAGGCATTGGACACACGAGACTGTTGTGCAGTTTTTACCCGGTCAACGGCGAGACACATATGTTGAGCCAGCGGTTGGATGCATTTTGCTGGTCGTTCGGCCAAATGTGCTTGCTTGCCTTATATAATTGATGGCATCAGAGAAGTGAAAAAGGATTTGTGTTACCACTATTATCTCCAGGTAGTACATTGCCTGGAATTTTCATGCTTATGTGGGTGGCGACCGTGAAATCCTCAACAAACCAGTGGCTTTCCACTTCCATGATGATTCCAGGGAGTGTATAGGTATAGGTAGTATGGATGTAGTATGGGCTTCTCAACCCCACTGCAGTCTTGGGCGGAACGTGTACAGGGCTCACCGCCAGTTCGCAACACCTTCGCAACACCTTCGACCAAGGCCATGTTGCGGTCCTGACCGGCGCCCCCAAGCTGTCTGGTTCTGCCTGGGTCATGGCACCCACAAAACTGATCGGTTGATGTATTACGCGGAAGAGACCCACATGGAACCCAAAAACCACTAGGTTGTAGACTTGTAAAACAAGTCTTCCAGTCTGGTCCATGCCAGTCGACCGGTTCCGTGTCTCAAACACCGGATGGTTTCGGTCAACGACGATCAGCGTCCCCGCTGAGCCTCCAGCACACCCATCCTGCCCAGCCTGGCACGAAGCGGTGCGAAGCGGAGCCGCGCAGATCATCCGGCGTAGCGCCAAGAGTTCGGTGGTAGGCTCAAACAAACTCCGCAGTGAATCATAGTGAGGACGGTGGATGAAGAAGACCCTTTTATGAGACATGGATGGTAAAACCCCATCAGGGCCTGTGGGGCGAATTTTGTCCAGCAACCAAATGAGTGAGGACTGAACCAACCTGCTTGCTATCAGGCTGTCAGGAAATGAATTTAGCTTCAAAATGCTTCCAGGACCCTCCAGTGGTGGTACTAATTTTGAACCCGACCCCACTGGGAAGCCTGGAGAGAGTCTCCAGGAGTACCGCTTTGGCGGAAGGAAACCAATTCCTGAAAACACTTGAGTAAAAAAGTGTTGATGTGA